CGCCCTCCCGCCGACGGCCTGCGGCCGCCCGGGCGGCCACACAAAAGCCCGGAGCCGGTCCCCGCGACACCCAAGGACGGGACGAGGAGCGAGCGCGGGCGGACTTACTGGGCTGCTGCGGCCGTGCTGCCTCAGCCGGGGACACCGACCGTTGGGCACCGGCGGCGTCGCTCGTGGCCGTCCTCCCCCTCCTCCGCCGTCGGTGGCGGCAGTGTCTTCTTTCCCCTCCTACCTCCCTCCCCCCCCACCCCACCTCCTCCTTCTCCTCCCCCTCCTCCTCCTCCGAACCACCGAAGTACCGAGGGTGAGACACAGAGACTCACAACAACATGGCTACCACCGCCGCCTCCCCTCCCCTCCCCCCCGCCCACCGGCCGCGCGCAAAGCACTCCGGGAGAAAGGGGAGGGGGGAGCGCTCACCGAGGTGCGGCTCTTCTCAGTGGCCTGCGTCCCTTCTCCCGCGCTCTCGGCGCGGGCCGGTGGCGTCTCTGCGCATGCGCACGCTCCCTGCCGGGGGGAGGGGGGAGCGGCACGCTCCGTCGTGCGCTTTCCCGTCCTCGCCTCGCAGGCTCCCTGCTATGTCCGAGCGATTGTGTGAGTGCGCGCGCGCGCGCGCGCATCGGCTCCGCTCCTACTGCGGTGCTCAGCGGGGACGCGCGCAGGGCGGCTTCTCGCGGGCGTGGAGTTTCCGCACGTCGCGCTTCCGGATCTTCCGGCGGGGATCTCGGCTTCCTCCACCGAGGCTCATTGTTCTCTCCCAACCGTCAGGGCCGGTGTCGGCGCCCGAGTCCCACCTTTGGAGTACTCACGCTTTGCTTCCGGGGTGCTGGCACCCGCAGGAACAGACCTTAGTCCTGGCCTTATCATGGTCACCCTTTGCCTCGCTCCACCCGGATTTTAGAGGTGCGTTGGCTGGGGTTGAGCGGACCGCAGCTCGCGAGGGAACGGTCCCTCCTGTGGCTGCTCCCTGGGCTGTCGGTGCAGAGAGGCACAAAGGAAACAGCTAGGCCCCGGATTGCCCTGTGTGCTGTGCACCGCGGGCTAACTGCCACCCCCCCCACACACACACACCCTCCTGGCCTGGAGTTTGCAGACAACAGTGAGGATACCAAGAATTGGATCCAACTTGTGGCCATTCCCTCCTTGTCACAGCTGTAAGCCGGGGAGAGTAGGACTTGTTTAGCTCCTGATTCTGAAATTCTGTTCTTCATAAGCAGCCAGGGACTTGTCATGAATTACCTTATTGATAAATACCCTCCCTAGGCAACTGCAAACCAGCTCCCCCAAGGGAAGGGACCATGCAGCATGCTCTATGCCGTCTTCAGCGCTGCTATTTAAATGCTTGAGCCGTTATTATTTTCATTATTACCAAGAATGACTGAAGCTCAACCATCCTAGTTTTCTTTTTTTCTTGGGGGGAGGGGGAGGCCTCAGTTGTGAGGCTTAGGCATTGTCCCTGATCTCTTTTGCTCAAGGCTAGCACTTTGAGCCACAGCTCCACTTCCAGTTTCCTAGTGGTTAATTGGAGATAAGGGTCTCACAGACTTTTCTGCTCAGACTGGTTTTTGAACAGTGATCCTCAGACCTCAAGCCTCCTGAGTCGCTAGGACTGCAGGCAGCATGAACCACCATGCCTATTCCTTAATTTTTGATGCTTTAACCAAATACCAGTTTGGGTAATTTATTTATTTTGTGCCAGTCCTGGCTCTTGAACTCAGGGTCTGGGCACTGTCTGAGCCTCTTTTGCTCAAAGCTAGCACTCTACCACTTGCGTCACAGAACCACTTCTGGCTTTTTCTGGGTATGTAGTACTGAGGAATCAAACCCAGGGCTTCATGAATGCTAGGCGAGCACTCTACCACTGAGAATTTGGGTGATTTCTAAAGAAAATAAACAAACTTCTTACAATCCTAAAGGCTGGGAAGTAAAATGCTATGGAGCCAGTGTCTGAAGCTACATAATCCCATGATATGATGAGTAGACAGACAAGCTTGTTTTTATAACAACCCACTCCCTTGATAATGACATTAATCAGTTCTTGAGGGCAGGGCCCTTATGACCTTAGTCACCTCTCCCTAGAGGAAAGGTGCTGACACCTTCCAATATTATTGCATTAGGAGTTAAATTTCTGATACATGAACTTCAAAGTACATTCAAAACATAACACCATCTTGAGCCTTTATTCCAACCCAAGTTTCAGGTTTCTAGATATTTCCACTTGACTATTATTCCTGTCACTAAACAAAACTGAAGTCATAGCCTGATGCAGGTAGCTCACAACTATAATCCTAACTAGTCAGGAAGCTATAATTTGAGGGTCTCTGTTCCAAGCCAGCCAATGCCCTAAAGTCTGTAAGACTTATCTCCAATGAAGCACCAAAAAAGCCGGAAGTGGACCTGTGGCTCAAGTGGTACAGTGTCAGCCTTGAGTGAAAAAGTTAAAGGACAGTGCTCAGGCATTGAGTTCAAGCCTCAGTACTGGGGGTTGGGGGAAGAATTGAAATCACAATCTCCTAGCCCCATCTCTTGCACGTCTCCATAATTAGCAGTTGCCATCTATTCCTTCCCCACATTACTCCTCTAAACCATCCTTGTTTTTTTTCTTCTCCCTCTACTGTCCATAGAGGTAACTTTAAAAGACTCAGAATTCTACTTTCCAAATATTTCTACACTCTTATCACCCTACTAACACAGGTCTGGATTTCTGTAGCTACCTCATCAGCCCTCCTGTCTCCTGTCTCACCACCCCCTCGCCCCCAAACAGTTCTGCTCATAGGCCTCTAAAATACAAATCCAGCTTATGGGAATCAGACATCTACTTTAAGTATCTCATCTCCCTGTCTCTAGTAACAGCATTTGCCAGATGTGCTCTGTTCAGTGTTAATAGATAAATATTCCTTTAAGAAAGGGCCTGGGTACATTTCTTAAAGATATCGTGGCACAGGCAGGCCTGTAATCTCAGCACTCAGAAGGCTGAGGCAGGAAGATCCTAAGTTTGAGGCCAGCCTGGACCACACAGAACTGTCAAAAAAAAAATCCCACAATCAAATGAATATGTAAAGACTGGGATATACACATTTTTACCTGTATAAAGGCACAGAAGCAAGAAATTACTAGGCATCTGGGCTCATGAGGTAGAAAAAATTGGGACACAGTCAGACCACTGGGCTCCCCCTCCACAGGGCTGCTAACAGCAGAAGCATCTTTACATACAGTTACTTAGTCTGGATGCAATGCAAATGGGTGAACCCATCAGAGAGAGAGATTGTTCCTCAGAATATGGAATTGAGACTCATGGAACTGTATCTCCTCCTGGGAGATCTCTTTTGGATTGATTTGTAAATAAGGAACCTATAGAAAAGAGTAGAGCTGAGAAAGAGACTTGATGATTTTCCTCCATGTGTTTGTGTGCCTGGCTGGCAATCTCTATCCTTGGAATGTGAAACACGTGCCTGAGAAATCTTCATAATGAATTCTGCTTTTCCCCCACTAGGACTGGATGAAATGGGTTTCTGCTACAACCACCAGTTCTAACTAAAATCCATGTGTATACCATAGTTATTATTTAATGCTTGTTGTATAAAGCATATTCCATATATTACTCATTTAATGATCCCAGTGTCCCCCTGAGCAAGGCCAACTTGTGTAAGGCCCCACTTGGAAGGGTCTGCAGTTGGTTTAACTCTCTTGTCACCATCTAGAAAGTCTATAATGATTTTTGAAAAAGCCATCTCTCACTTTCATTTTGCACTGAGCTCCGCAAATTCTATAGCCTGTTTTGCCTGTGAAGTATTATCTCTACTTAAGAAAAGGTTTCTTTATTACAGGTAGACTTCATAGCATCTTTGAAATCAAATTATGGGAAGTGGAGGTGTGGCTTAAATGGTAGTGTGTCAGCCTTGAGCATAAAAGCTAAAAGAGCACCCTAGCCCTGAGTTCAAGCCCCAGTAGGAGCACAAAAATAAATAAATAAAATCAAAATAGGCATGGAAAATATCAGAGTATAAAAGGTTTCCCAAACAAATTTGGCTCTAGAAAGCTTTTTCACAGAAACTCTTCAAGTTTTGCGCTCTGCAAGACACGGATTGACACAGATTAAAGTTCAACCCTTAATGATCTGACTCTATCAATCTCTCCAGCTCATGATTCCCAATGTGCAGCAAGCAGTTTCTTGCTTCTGTGCCTTCCCATATGCTTAGCAATCTGCTGTGCTCATTAAGCACTTCTGATTATAATTGGCTTCATTTTAGACTTACCTACAAGGAAAGAATGTACTCTTAGGCTAATATAAATATCCTGTGCGCTTGGCAGTTAAGACGGACATTGTAATTGACACCTCAACAGCCATACTAATCACCTGGGAGCTTGTTAGAAATGGCAAAACTTGGCTTCTTGCCGGACGCACTGAATCAGAGTCTGCATTTTAATAAGATTCCTAAGCAATCTCTATACACTATAAACTTTGAGGAACATCGGTAAACCATCACACTAGTTCCGGCAGGCTCACTAAAATTTGTTTTTGAAATGGGTGTATGTGTTTAATCCATTAACCAATGAGACACACAAAAGTAGCAGCCCACAGTACCTGGGAGGGGGTGGGGAAGAGTGGGGGGGTAGAAAGCTGTTTCTTTTCTGGGTGTAAACAGAAATTCAGGAATTCAACGTTGCCATGGTTCCAGGCTGCTGTAGCCTACCCTGTAATGTCTTTTTCCTTAGTAACTTTGGGCTGGAAGGGGACAGAATGGAGTGAAACCTGAAATCTGTAGATAATTAGAATGTGCCTTTCGGGGGCAGAGAAAGAAATCATTTCTATTGGCAGGGAGGGATTGGGCCAGCAAAGAGGATGGATGAAGATGAATATAGTCCAAGTAGTTTGTTTGCTTGTATGAAAATAGAACAACAAAACCTGTTGATATTGTTTTAGAAAATAAGGAAGAAAGTGATGCGGGAGGGCTGGGAAGATGGCTCAGTGGTAGAGTGCTTGCCTTGTGTGCATGAGGCCCTAGGTTCAATTCCTCAGTACCACATAAGCAGAAAAAGCCGGAAGTGACACTGTGGCTCAAATGGTAGAGCACTAGCCTTGAGCTAAAGAGCTGAGGGACAGCACCCAGGCCCAGAGTTCAGGCTCCACAACCGATCAAAAAAAAAGAAAAAAAGTGATAGAGGGGGTAAAATTGTTTGGAATACACTTTATACATGCATGGATATGTTACAATGAA